GATAGGGCTTTGAGGCGAGATGCCACAATTGCAGGATACATTTCCTCCTGCTTTCCAGATTTAACCTTTGCCTCTCCAAAACATGTCTTTTTTCCCGCATTGTTTCAAGAGAAAATTTGCCTTCAACACAATAGAACATACATTTTGAACTAAAGAACACTGACTACATGAAACACCTTTACAGACCTTAAGCTGCTGACTTGTAAATTTTCTAGGTAAGGAACACAGGCTGAAAGAAGTTTAACCAGTTTGCTCAAGCTTAATATAAACAAAGCCAGTGGTTTCCAAACTACCTGAATACTGGAATCACCTGGAATTACACAGGCAGCTTTGCAGGCCCCGCCTCTAGCTAGTTTCTTGGGTGGATCATGGGTCATTTCCCTCTACAGTCTATTACCTGCTAGTTGTGTCTTGTTTTTATTTTCTTAGGGGGACTTCGGCAAAGAAAGGAAACTAAACCAATGTACTTCATTTTAATAAGCCAAGGAATATGTGAACGGTAGTATAAATTTACAGTAGCTTATCTTGAGCTGCCTCTTTTTTCTGGAGTAGATTTTATCAGAAAACGATAATGGAAACAAAAGCCAAGACTGGCACCGTGGCTGCAGTGGTGGGCTTGTAAACTGCCCTGGCAGGTAGCTGGGGAGGAAGCCCTGATTGATAGCGTTTGCTCATTTCCATGGTATGAATACTCCCACCATGGCAAATTTCAAACTACTGATGCTCACAAAATTTCTAAATATTTAACAATTGGCCCCCAAATAGGTTGAACATACTACTAGGTTTAGAATATATTGGCGGAGGGGGGGGGGGGACTGAACAATTTCCTAAGATTGTTCTAAACTGTCCATTAGGTGCTTCAAATTGGGCACTCCCCAAACATCACTCTGTTTGCCTCATGCTCTGACTCCCAAAGACACCTGAGTGCCCTCCAGTCCGCATCTCTCACTCCGTTTCCAGCGACGTGCTCTGATGCGGGTCTGGAGCATAATGATGGCGTAGATGGGACTAGCGGACGGAGCGTTTAGTGGGAGAGAAGTGGATGTCATCTTTAGCGGTAGGATGGCTCCTCTTCCCCTCTGACCTGCCTCGTAGCAGGGTAGTACTATGGAGAGCTGCCCTCCACTTGAGAGAGGCTGCTCTCCTTGACAGGCCTGTAAGACCAGGGTGAGAATGAAACACAAAACACAGCTTAAGGGAGCTTGGCTCTTAACCTGAGAGGAAAAAATAAAAAGAGCTGAGCCTTTCTGTGTCCACTCACCATAGGAGAAAGACAGCCTTTGCACAACAGACTCCCCTTGGGAAACGGAGTGATGATGGCAACTGGACCGGGCACAGGCCCTGAGCATGTGCTACTACGCCCAACGCCACCACATGTAAAAAGTATCAAAAACATATTCCAAAACCAAATAAGTGTAAATGACTCACGGATCCCTTATATTTTAGGTTACTTGTTTCCTTGGTAAACTTCCAGAAGTCAGGATAAACATTTTCTGAGTATTTGTACCAAAACAAACATACAAAATCCATCCCTGAGCTTCCTGGGTAGCCGAACACAACACTGCTCTGAATATAAGGACAAACTTATTTGGAATGTTAGCTCAATTTCATTCTGGTTGAATCTGTTTGTCCTATGCATGTATATGCCCATATACTCTTTTTTTCCTGACTACAAAGGTGAGTGTTTCATTTAGCTCCTAAGAAAGCAAAGTTAAAATTTTAATTCCCAAATGAATCAACCAGAGATCTGAATCACAGTAGGACTCTCACAAGCTACAAGATCTTGGTCCAGTCATTTAATCTCTTTTCCCATCCATTAAATTAAGATAAATTTAAGATATTAAAATTAAGATAAATTAAGCATAAATTAAGATATTTATGCTTAAATCTCAGGGTAGCATTGCCTACCATATACTAAGTAATTTATCATGTTCTTTATCCTTAATTCTCAAAATCATCCTTCAGGGGTTTTTAAGAGTTCAGACTCCCAGAGATGCAGGGATAAGAGCAGAAATGAACATGCAGTCTCTTTATATATGTATTTGTGCATTTTTACCTGGTTTCTCAACCAGGGACACATGGGACTCTCAACATGTAGGGTGAAGATGGAGGAAAAGATAAGCTGGAGCGGCACATTTGCACATTTTGGAAAAATTTCCATTGTGATTCTAATGTTCTCTCCCCAGTCCAGCTTGTGAAATACTGATTTCAACCAAAATCATTACCACCAGTTCCTCATATTGATTTGGGCATATACTGTCTGGAGGGATGGAATGAACTGCAAAAGGAAATGGGGAAACTTTTAGGAGGAAATGTAATGTCTCTTGGTTGTGGTGTTGGTTTCACAGATGTATACATTCTTTCCAAACTCATTAAGCTGTAATTTTTTCAATGATTGCAGTTCATTGTACATGAAAGTATACTGTAATAAAATTGATTAAAACATTGAAGGAACAATCCCAGCTCCTAAATTCCAAAAAATCTCATGGAACATTTCTCAAGTAAACTACTTACCCACCAATTCAAGTGCATGTGCTTTGAATTGCTCTATAGTGTAGTCATAGAGCAATACTGACCCCTCAACACTGTTCTCTCCCGTGGGCCACTGAGCACAGCTTTTGAGCAGCAGTCAGCAGTAAGTCGCAAGGATAAACTGTCACACAGACACTGGGGTAATGGCCTTGACCTCATGAGAACCACACCCTAATCCATTTATCACCTGATACACCAAGTTCATGTAGAGTGACTTATTCTAATGGGAGAGCCCAGACTTTACAGTCTTAGGTAAGATAAACTGAGTTATGCGCAGTGCCTGCAAGCCAGCTGTAATTCCTTTACTGTAGATCAGTGCACAGCCATTAAAAACTCTGTCCTAACCAACTAACCAATTTTCAGTTCCTGATTTTACAATATGCCTTAGTACACATTTGTACAGAAGCTGAGATGATTTGTATTCTAAAATCCAATTATATACTAATTTCTAAGTTTTATTTCCAACTTTAGAGCCTTGGTAACTTTTTTAAATCAACAAACTATTTTAAAAGGTCAGTGGAATATAAGCAAATACTTTATGCCCTCAGTTCTTTATAAACCCATGATAATGCTAAGATCTTTAACAAACTAGCCCTATGAATCAATGATTTTGTCAAGCACTTTTGACCAAATAAAGCAATTTAGGAGATTGTTTTCTAACCAATAAGCACAAATAGTCTGTTCTCTCCAGTACCTTTTATGTACTAGTGTAAAGATTTTATGTATCTATTATGAAGTCTGTATGTTTTTAAAATTAAATTTACCATGATTTGCAAGATAAAGAGTAAAAAAACAGAGTTATGTTCTACAGGTGAAGACATAGAGTCAAAAAGTTTGTGTTAAGTTTTTTAAAAATGATTCTGCCTTGGATATTCTACATTTTTCCTACATTTATGCAAAGATATTGTGGACTTTTGGATTACTACAAAAGAACTAAAACATTTGACTAACCCTGTTAGGAGAAGAACGTTTCTAAAAGATAATTATTTGTTCCAAGTAATAACATTCTGGAGAAGCCAAACACTTGAAAAAAACAGAATTGAAATACTTGATTTTTATTTTGAAATGTCTACAAAGTTTTAGTTTTCCATTATACAAATACTTTTTCAAAATTCAGACATTATCCAAATGTAAGCCAGTCCTCATACAAATAGAATACACACAAAGATAAAAATATACATACTCTCTCAGCAAACTTTGTTACATAAATAAGAAAAATATATACAGCTGGTCTTTTAAATCTAATAAAGTATCTTAACATTGTAACCACATACAGAAGGTACTAAAAACACTACAGAAACACTTAAAAGAACAAAAAATTCATTTTATGACATCTACAATTATAAAGATAATAGAACCAATCTTAGGGAAATATATATGAGGTCTGTCCGGAAAAAGCCCAGCCATTGTGAATGTAACAAGAAGTTTGCGCAACATCAACGTAACCAGGCAGCCAAGGAAGGTGGACTGGAATGCACATGCGTGAACAATGACGGCTTCACTGTATTAGTCAGTGGGGGCAGTAGATGCTGTTGAGTAAGCATGTGTACTGTGTGGCCATCATATTCAAAAAGGCTGAGTGAATGGAGCAACAAATCTGTTAAGCTTGAACATTCCTCCACAGAAACTATTTAGATGACTCAGAAGGCTTCCGGGGACAATGGAATGGGTACAGTGCAAATAAAAGTGTGGCACAAATGCTTCAAAAGATGGTCAAGAACCTGTTGAAAGTGATCCATGTTTTGGAAGGTCTGCAAAAAAGCAGAACACCTAAGAATGTTGAACGTGTACCGGCTGTAATCAACAAAGATCAGCAATTGACAGTGCAAGAAATAGAAGTTGACCTGGGGATCACAAAAACTACTGGCTTTTCCCAAAATTAAAATTACCTTTGAAGGGGAAGAGATTTCAGACCATCAGTGAGATTCAAGAAAATATGATGTGGTAGCGGATGGTGATTACAACAAAGGATTTTTCAGAGTGTTCTGAACAGTGGAAGAGACACTGGAAGAACTGTGTGAGGTCCCAAGGGGCCTACTTTGAAAGGGACTGAGGCATCACTGTCCTATGTACAATGTCTCCTGTATCTTGTTTCTTCTTCAATAAATGTCTCTACTTTGCATAGCACGTGGCTGGACACTTTCTGGACAGACCTTGTACTTCATACTGGGATCTTAATTTTTACTTTACTTTGTTTGCTTTTTAGAATATTCTCTATATAGATGAAATTCACAATTCTACCAGCTATCCTTGACACCTAAAACAAAAGTTAGAACATGTAAAGAACTATATAATCTATGTCTTCATAATTTGGAATAGATATAAAAAAGAATTCTTCAATAGTTAAATTTGTATCAACGTGTGTTAAAATTTTCCAAGTAAATTGAATTGGCTATTGAAAAATCAAATAATTCTGCTTAAGTAGGAAATGTTAGGGAAAAAAATCCAAACACTCAAAAAGTCCTAACATAGTAAAGCTTATAAAGAAAAATTGTGCCAGTGGTTCCCTAGATAAAAGCAACTTAGCTAGGTGTATGTTTAATTATGTTTTGCCCCAGAAATTCTCCTTCCTTTTCTGAGCTCGTGCCAGAGTTTGAAAAGCCTGGAGACTAGAAGCTGCAGAACGAGCAGAAATCTCAGATAATCTGTCCTCATCTGTAATGAAAAAATTATTGTCAGTGCAATATTATCTTATAAAAATATTGTTTTATAACATTAAGAGAAAAGCATCAAGCTTTGTAATATCAATACTAACATTAACAGAAAAAAGTATCTAAACATAAGATATTAACATTTTCAGGATAGGTCACAGTATTTTTCCAAGTTTACCATATTCAGAAATCAAACATTTAAATGTTAAATGGGAATTCTGTTTCCTTCCTGAAATCCCACACGTAAAAGCTTACGATTTTAGTATTACCTAGAAACAATTCATACTGTCCTGTCCTACTTTAAAAAGCACAGCTGTTCTGAGCAAAAAGCTTTTAAAAACTTCTTAAAAATAAAATTCCATAGCTCAACATGGTACTTACATTTCTAAAATAATCTTACTTAATGTAGAAATAATATTTAACTTAAATATGCTGCCCTTTCATTATTACTGAAATCCCTCACTCTAAATAATCAAATCTATTATAATATTATTTGTAAACACTGTTCTTCCATTAAAAACAGAAATGAATTCAAATTGTCCAGATACTCGCATTTGAAAACATAACAACTTGATTTCTAGCTAATTCTGATAAACATCCCAAAGTTGCCAAGAGGAAAGAAAACCTTTAACATACATCAATTTAAAATACATGAATTATTTCAAATTTACTTTCAAATCCAAAATTTATAAATTCAATAGCTTCATATTTCTAACAGTGAATTAAAACTGTAATTTCAATTGTTCACATCAAGAATTCAAAATTCCTCCTGCCACTATTAGAAGCAAATGAATTTTTCATTGCACAAACTGCAGAGGAAGAAAAAGTTCTTTATCCATAATTATATTTTTTCTGAGTTGAAAGTTAATAATATGTACACATTTGGAAAAAATTATGGCTATAATGCTACGCCAAATTGCTGAGCCCCTACCTAGACCTAAAAAACAGAAAAACTATGGACCTCAGTGTGATGTGAGGCTCAATCTCTTACCATCTAATTGCCCTGGATTTAATTTCACCCCCACCCCACACAAGATTTCAAGGATCCAATGAAGTAACATCTATGGAAGTACTTTGTGAAGTCTACAGTGCTAATCAACTTTAAAATCATTATACTATTATAAACTGTCATATAATAAAACCATACTGTTATCTTGTGTTATGGACTATGGAAATACCTTCATCATTAAAGGCTTCATGCTGGGGTAATTGGAAATTGTTCTTCCTTGCTTTTCCAACTTAAAAAGAAAAAGGCAGAAGAAATTATCTTTCAATGTATATCTTACTTATAGTAAACCCTTAGTAAAAGTAGGCTGTCAAAAATTTTATTAATTTTAAATCTTTAATAGAAATTACTATCAAAGAGCCATTCATTAATTTATAATGTGTTTATTATTAACAACTATGTAAATAAACAATGGATAATCTCCTAGAATTCTTTTCAATGATTATATTGCTCTTTTCCAACTGTAAAAGAATGTAGTAGGGTTCTATTTAAAAATATAGATGGAATGCACCCATTTACAAAAATGATACAAAACCATAGGAAAAAAATGGGAGACAAAACAGCAAGAAAATTTGGGGAAGTGGAAAGCAGATGAAAGGGCAGTGAGTGTTGTCATCATACTCAAGCAAGTTGAATCCTAAGGCAGCAGAGGAGGGAAACCAAGAAGCAACCACTCTGATCCCCTAATGGCTCAGCATTTGGGAGTCCTGGTAGCACTGAAGGCTGGAGTGAGCCTAAGAATGGGCCAGGAGAGTGGTTGGCTACTGAAAACATCAGGGGTAACACCATGGAAAGTGTATGACTGCCTAATCACTACGCTGTACACCTGAAACCAATATAAAATAATATTAAAAGTAACAGTAATTTAAAATTTTAAAAATAAAAAAAGCAGACCACCCAGATCCTTCTTTACATATGCACAGATGAGTAACTGCTCATCTCCCAAAAAGAGAAATGAAGGTTTCATCTCCAAAGGTGTATCAAAGCTACCGGCTAAGGGATACCAGGTTCAACTGAGGGCAAGGGAGATGCAAAACAGGGAGATTTTATATATATATATAATCTTCTGAAAAAGATAAAACATACGCTCCATAAAATGAAAACCGGACACTGTATAAAAGGAATATGCAGTGTCAAAAAATTCTTAGAAATTAAAAACATAGCCAAATTCTTTTTTAAAACCCAGAAGAGGTAGAAGAAAAAACTAGTAACCCCTTCAAATTAAAATAAAAAGACAGTGATGGCAAATAGGAGAGGTAAGGTAAGAAAATAAGATTATGATCAATGTGTCCAATACCTGAAAAATAAGAATGCCAGAAAAAAAGGAAACAGAAAACGAAGGGGAAGAAATTACTGACTAAATAATTCAAGGCAATTTCCCAGAAGTGAGGAACTGAGTTTCCAGACTGAAAAGGTCTACTGAGTGCTAGCGAAATGAATGAAAAGAAACCCATTGTAAAATTTCAGAGCATTAGGTCTAAAAAAAAATCCCAAAAAGCTGCCAGGAAAAGAAGACATATACAAAAGATCAAAAATAAAAAGTGCACGAAATCTCTAAGCTAGAAAACAGCAGAGCAATGCCAAATAAAACTGAAGAAAAATAATTTATGTCCTTGAATTCTATATCCCGGCAACATTTGGCAATGTCTGAAGACATTTTTGGTTGTCACATCCGAGAAATGGGTGTGCTATTGGCACCTAATGCATTGCCCATACGTGATGGGAAAGAACTTGAGAGACACCTCACACTTACACAAAAGTGAACCTGGGTACAATACAATTAACTGTTCCAAAGTTGAGAATTTTCCTACTTAAATAAGCTACATTAATTTTAAAAAAGAAACTAGATAGCATAATTTATTAATATATAGTAGATACTTAGAGCCTTTGTACCTATGAGTGTAAAATTTTCATTTTAAAAGACAAAAAATTACAACCGAAATTACCATTATGCTGAAATTCTGGATCTTTCAGAGAGCCCTGGATTCGACGAGAGGGATGCCAGTAGGACGAAGCACAGGGTGGAGAAGGAGACTGTCCAGGAGTGTTTGTCGGATATCCTCGAATTTTTGACACGGGAGGAGTTGCTTCAACAAATTTGGGGATATCGATTTCAGAATCTTCCCTCAAAGGCAGGGGATCAACTGTTTTTACACCAGCAGCTGGAGAAGTCATGAGGGCTACTGCATGACTTTCTTTCTAAATGACAATAAAAATAAAATGAAATAAAGATACATACATGTGTGTGCATGAGGTCTGTCTGGAAAAAGTCCAACCATTGTTGATATAACAAGAATGTTTTGGGCGACATCGATGTAACCTAGCAGCCAAGGACAGTGGACTGGGACGCATATGCGTGAACAACAATGACTATCCTGTACTAGTCAGTGGGGGCGGTAGATACTGTTGAGTGAGCATATACTGTGTGGCCGTCACATTCAAAATGACTGAGCGAGTAGAGCAACGAATCTGCATCAAATTTTGTATTAAGCTTGAACATTCCTCCACAAAAACTATTTGTATAATTCAGAAGGCAGCAGCCCTGGGCAACTGGTGATTGGCAGCTTTATCACAACAATATGGCCACACATGCAGCACATCTCATGCAGGGTTTTTTGGCAAAACTTCAAATCACCTAGATGACTCAACCCTACTACAGCCCAGATTTGGCACCCTGCAACTTCTAGCTTTTCCCAAAACTAAAATCACTTTAGAAAGGGAAGAGCTGATGACTACTGGGAGAACTGAGTGAGGTCCCAAGGTGCCTATTTTGAAGGGGACTGAAGTATCATTATCCTATGTACAATGTTTCTTGTATCTTGTATCATCATCAATAAATGTCTCTACTTTTCATAGTATATGGCTGGCTCCTTTTGGACAGACCTCATATATAACTAAACCAAACATTTAAATGCACACAAAAATATATTATTATAAAAGCAATAGGAGAAAATATGGGGAAGTTTTATGTAACTTCCATGTGGAGAAGATTGTATGAGCCTAATAACCAATATAGATAAACATATTCAGCTGTATAAAAAATATATAAACATTAAAAAAATAAAAAATCACACTTAGGAAAGTATATGACTTAGATTACGACCATTGCTACGTAAGTATTTCTTTAAAAATAACAAGAGATAAACCTAATTAAAAAGTCAACTTCAATATGTATAAGCAATTAATATACACACAAAATGTTAAACATATTCTATTTCACTTATAATCAAATAATTTCAAAACAGAAGCACGAGGTACTAATTTTTCACTTCCAAAATAACAAAGATTACTTTTTGAAAAAACAAATAATAATACCCAGAGACAGCAAGGATGTAGAAAAATTGGCACTACTGTGTTGTTGGGAACACAGCCTTTTAGGGAGCTGGCAAAACATGGCAGAGGCCTTAAAATTTTGAATTCTTTGACCATATAATCACACTTAGGGAGTATTTACACAAAAGGTGATAATAACAATACAAACAAAAATGAAGCTAAAGGATGGATTTCAAAAGAGGAAAATTAAGAAATAACAATAGGCATCTACTTTTAAAAAACCTTTATAGAAAAAATAATTATAAAGCCTTATCTACAGTAGAATAAACAAATACACAATATACCTAAATAACTAAAAAACTGAACAATGGATGTCCATGAACAGTAGGTATGACATTATTTTTTTTACTTTGTTTTTTTTTGTTTTCCACGATAATAACATATCACTATCCTGAAAGTCTCTATATAATTCTACTTTTTAAGAGAATATAAACCAGTAAAATCAAATACAGTTCCAAACTTTCCTGGTTATTCCTTGTTGCCTGTAGTTATTAGCATTTGAGTTTATCGATGCAACATTCAAAACACTGTTTTTTGACCTTAGGAATCATTTTCTGCAATTAAAGAACTTACTGCTTCAAAGTGGAGATGGCCTAGGGTCTTATCCAACAAACATATATTTTTACATCAAGATCTAAGATAAAAACCGCAAATCTTGTTTCCCCTTTTTAACTATAAGTATCACTTAGGAACATTGGTCTTTGAGAGAGAGAGAGAGAGAGAGAGAGAGAGAGAGAGTGTGTGTGTGTGTGTGTGTGTGTGTAATTTGAGACCTCTGTCAAATTGGTTTTACTATTATTAAAAAGAACTGAATGAAGTCTGTAGAGTATTTTAAGCACAGAGGGTTCCCAGGTTTAATTTAACTGACTTTGTGGACTATTTTTGAGCTTAAAGCCCCCTTATTGGCCTCGCTGCTCCCACTCTCCCCCATTACAGTGTATTCTCCACTGAGCAGTAAATGATTTTCTTTACTGTGTAAATCAGAGATCTATATTTGTTTTGTTGCTTCCAATCCTGCAAGGGCTTCCCAGGGCCATCAGAAGAATATCCCCACTCCTTACCCAGCCTCCCTTTTCCATCCTCATTCCCTAACCTCTCCTCTTCCCTCTCCAGACTCCAATCACACTGGCCTTTTCACTCTAAAAACTCTCACTGCTGTACACTTGGACTTGCTGTTCTTTCTACCTGGAAAACAATCTGTGCCCCAGATCTCCGTGGGGGCACCTCCCTCATTAGTCAGGTCTTAGACAAAATGTCACCTCCTCAGAGGTGCCTGCCCTGATGGCCCAACGTAAAGCAGCCTCCTCCACCCCTTGGAAGTCAGTTGTGGTTTTATTTAATTCACAGCACTCACTACTACCTGGAATTGCCTTTCTTAAAATGCGTTTGTCTGTTACTTCCAATAAAAAAGCAAGCTCCATGAGGGTGGGGATTTTGTCCTGATTACCAAGGAATCTCCAGATCCTAGAACAGTGCCTGGCACATAAGAGCACCTTAACTACTGAATTGAGTGAATGAAAATAAAACATATTCCCCTCAAAAGATGGTTCCTGTCCAGAGTTCTCTTACTCAGTGCATGGCACCCCCTACCAACCCTTCTGGGCAAGCCAGAAACCCAGAAGTCATTCATGGTCTCTCATGCCCTATTATCCAACCCTGCACCAAGCCTTGCCGTTGTTCCCCATATATAATTCTTCAGTTTCATGCACTTCTATCTATACCCACCCTCTTTAGTTCAAGCTATCAACATTTCCTTACCTAGACTACTACAATGGCCTTTTTTACAGGTATCCACAGTCTACTGTTACCTTCCATGGCAACCAGAAAGATCTTTAAAATATTTCAATGGCTCCCCCTTGCTCTTGAGACGATGTCAGAAATTCTCAGTACGGCTGTCTTTTCCAGCCTCATCTTATACCTCCTCCTGGTCACATGCTACACTGATCTGTTTCTTAAAACCCTGCACTATTTCTCTCTATAGAATGTGGGCACATGCTTCTTCTCCCATGCTTTTTACTTGTTAACTCTTCCTCTTCCTATATTATCTCAATTAAATTATGACTTCCAAGAAGCTTCCTGACTTCTAGGACTTTGCAAATTCCTTCCAGAATAGCACTGCATAGTACTTTGAAACTTGTACTAGTTTTAACTTTACCTTTTTAGGAGTTTAATTCTTTGAATAATGTGACTATCACTGGGCTGTAAGTTCCATAAGATTGTGTACCATATCTATTTTGCTACCTCATGTGGGTAAATGGATAAGAAAAATCTGCTGAATGAATAAATGAAGCAAGCTAACAGACACTGGGTTTTTAATAACATTTATAAAATGTGTAGATGGTACTTGATTAAAACAATACCATGAGAATTCTACTCTAAAGTTCTGTGAGACAGTATTGTTCAGGGTTTAAAAACCCAAATTCTACGCCACCATTTGGCAACTGGGTAACCCCAGTTTCATCATCTAAATGAGAATAATAACAATACCAACCCCTCACAGTCCTTATAAAGACATGTAAAGTACTTAGCACAAGACCTAAAAACAAGTAAGCACTCAGGAAATGATACCTATTATGATCACCCCCATATAAGTTGCCCAAATTACTGCTCTCCCATAATACTCCCACAATGCAAAGTATGTCATTAAAAGTTAACAGTGGAAAAATTTCTGGATATTATGGTAATATATTCTCACTAATTTCTATGGTAAAAAGTAGAATTATATGAAGTAATTAATTAATCAATCTATTAGAAACTGAATAACTTATTTATTATAACATTAACTCTTATAAGAAAATAAAGGGGAAAAAATGATTACTGCCTCCCAGCAATCAAGTGGTAGACAATGGAAAATAACCAAATCTAGTTCCTGGCACAGCCGCTGGTAGTGCAGGTGGCAGAAAATTCACGTGGAGGGAGTGTTAATCAAATTGTTAATAAGAATCCTGCTTATTTTAGAGGAGTTGGTAATTAAAGTGCTATAACTATACTATATACATGATCAGGTGGAGATTGGCATTAAAATGTTAAAGGACAATATTATTCCATTTTTAATTAATTAAAGTGATTTTATTATTCAAACAATTAATTCTACAATAAATGAAAATAATACCTACAAATTCAGCGGCAAATATGGATTAGGGCCCCTCATTTTAGCTGAGGTAGTCAGCCCTATAGGCAAAGCCAACTAGAAGCTCACACCTTCCAGGTGACAGCCTGGATTCCTAAGGAACACAATAGTCCACAGGGGCAAGATTCCAAAATCTGATTCTGAGCAAGCCTCTAAATTCCTATGGTCACACTTCTTTTAATAAACCAATGTATATGTAAGCAACAGGAAACAGTTTAGATAATCTGTCACTCCAATAACACTCCTTCAACACACTGGGTGCTGGCCATGAACTGGGCTCTAAGTACTAGGTTTGCGGGGACTGGACTCTGATCCCATCTCCCACCTCTCCCCAGCACCTTAAAACTCTCCACTGTGCCCTCTGGAACTTGTGAACAACCTTCAGCAAAATATCCTAGAGAAATTCATCCTCTTCTTTGAATATACTCTATTTTAATTCAGCCTCTTACCCTACATGTTAAGTCTTGTCATTACTAGTAACTGCAACCTCTTCATAATCTCCTAATTTTAAAACTAATCCACAGGTACTCCAAGTCCAACAAGTCCTTAAGGGCTGACAAGACTTCCCCGGTCTATTGATCCTGTCATCTCTGCATTGTACCTTACTTTCTTGAGTTCTATTTTCCCTCTCTAGCCAACTCAACTTCCATGGGGAATCATTATAATCACTTCCCTATATATAGCTTAACTCCCTCACCTACTTTCTCACTTCGCCTTACTCCCTTGCCAAAACATGAACCCCAGTTGAATCCAACTCTCTACTTATCCTGCACCTCTGTAGCCAAACCTGCCTGGAGAAAAACATGCAAACCATCCTGACTGGTCTTACATCAAATCTGTGACCACTAACCTAAAATGGCCTCTAACTGTTGCCCTGCATTAGCTCACATTTCTCTGGCCCAATGGCTCTCTCACTATCTGAAAAGACTATTTCAGTCTTACTCTCTTCCTCAAACCTCTAAAATTTTCTTCTCCTGACTCATTCCCAGCAAGGATCTTTCTTCATGTTCTGCCAAAAGCAAAAGAGACTTTCCAAAAGCGCCCACCACATTTTCCTATGTTCCATCAGCAGTGCCCACATAATGTAGTCTGCCTTCCCTTTTCTAACAGTGACCTAAGGCTAACCTTTCCATACCTCCACCAGATCCTATTCCTTTTCTCCTACTCAGTAACACCTTTCCAACAATTTTCCTCTCACTCCTGCATCATCTTGTCTCTCTTTAAAATCTGTTTTCATCAACATACAAATGTGCTATCATCTCCTCTTTCTTGATCTTACTTCTAACTCCCACTCCCATACTTTGCTCTCTTTCATGGAAAAAACTCTTGAAAGACTTGCCTGTGACACTGTCTCCAGCTCCTCTCTTCTTCGTTCTCTTGAGCTCACATGGACTTAGGCTTTTATCCTGCACTGCCAGCAAATGCCCTCTGTCAAGGTCACCAATAACCTCCTTGTTGCTAAATCCAATAAACAATTTCTGTACCTTATTGACCCAACAATAGCATTGATACTCCCTCCTCCTTGACACCTCCAGGACACCGCAGTCCCCTGTGTCCCTCTACCTCACACTGTTCCTCTTCAGTCTCTTTGCTGATTGCTCCTCAGCTTCCCAATATCAAAAACCTGGGGCTCAGACCTGTCTACACTTACTCTTTTCTGTCCAAATCCACTCCCTGATGAGCTTCCCCAGTCTCAAGACCTCACATACCTGTATGATAAAGAACCTTTAATCTATATATATCTGAACTCAGCTTCTCCTCTACATTCCAAAATCAACTCCCTACTCAAAAACATCTACTTGTATGTGTAATAAGCTTCTCAACTTTAATGTGTCCAAAACAAGACTCTTGGTCTTCCCTGAAATATTTTTTCCTCATACCGTCATCCTCATCTCAGTGAAATGGCAATTCGACCCTTATTGCTCAGGCCGAAAATCCTGAGTCATCCTTGATTTTTCTTTCTCTCACCCCATATCTTCTACATCAGCAAATTTTACCAGCTCTACTGTCAATGAATATCCAGAATCACACTTTATCACATCACCTCCATTCCCACCACTATGATCCAAATGACTATCATTCTTGCCTGGATATTGTAATTGACTCATATCATTCCCCTGCTCCTCCAAAGGCTTCCCATTTCATTCAGAATAAAACTGAACACCTTTGCTATGACTTATAAGGCCCTACACAATTCAGTCACCCATTATGCCTCTGAACTCATCGTCCATCATAATCTCCCTCTCTTGCTCTCTACTCCAGCCACACCGACTTCCTGGCTGCTCCTCAAAAAATTAGCTATCTTCTCATCTCGGCAACTTTGCACTTGCTGTTCTGTTGCCTAGAATGCCTTTCTAGATACACATATGGGTCAATCCTTCACCATTTTCAGATTCTGGTCAAATATCACCCTCTCAGTAAGAACTTTCCTGGCTACTTCCTATTCACTTCCCCTATCTTATCTTTCTTTGTAGTATTTATCACTATCTAACCTAGTTATTATATTTATTGTATCTCTCCTCCACTAGAATATAAGTTCGATAAGGGCCAGGATTTTTGTCTGTTTCTTTCACTGCTATATCTCTGGTGCTAAAATGGTGCTTGGAACACAGTTGGAACACAAATGCCACATTAGATGCTCAATAAATAGAATTGGTTCTCTTCCCGCTCTTCCTGACAAGTCACTATTGATAAGATTTGAAAGTATATCAGCAGAAATACAATGTCAATACCAGAAAAAACAATTCAATGTTTCTGCTTTACTAAAAATAGGTTAACAGACTGTCTCCATATATGATACCCAGAATTTTCTAAAATCTGAACCTATCATTCATTTATTACATGTAGCTAAAAAGATAACTTCCTGAAGGAACCCCAAAATAGAAATATTTACCTTACAAAAATCCTTCTTTGAAGTTTCTAAGCCATCCTGAGAAGACATTCTTTTCCTCTGTTCCGGGACTGAAGGCTTCACTTTCGATGGAGACACTAAAACAGCACCACCTGGAAAAATGCAGAAGATGTTAAGTTTCTATTAAACTAAACCTCATGTAAAGAAAAAGGCAGGTGAAATAAGAACTGCATAGTGTTTGCCTATTACCAACAGCTGGAGTGGTAAGATCGTGATGTGTCCTTTGGATTCCACCAAGTTCTCTCAGCTTCGGAGTAGGAAGCCTACCTCCTTTTTCTGAAGATATAGAAGAAGACTCTGACCTAAAAAATTAAAATAATCTACTATGAAACTATTCTTCTACGAAATATGATCAAAAATACTTTGCCATTATTATGCAATAATAAAGTATAAAAATTTTAAGATAAGACCATTTTGTTTCTGAAAAAAATAAACCCACATTCAGGTAAGAGCAACTGAATATTGGAAAAGAGGGAAGATCACTGCAAGTCAGCAAGAACACAGCAGAAGGTCCTTCCATTAAATCAGGGCCTCAATCCCATATTCACTGCAAAACTCATGAAAGAAAAACACTATCACCAATGGTAAAGAACCACTCCCCAAAGAAATCTGCATGTAAATCAACAGGAATTAGCTCTGCCAAAATCACTTATTTTAATATTAATAAAGCATTATCTTTTCTTTCTTTTTTGGTATAATCATCTGATATTTAAGAATATCAGCCATTTTCCTTAAGTCATAAAGGAAATCATTCTTCCAGGCACATTTACAAAACTAGCAAATCATAATTAGCAGAAAAGAAATGAAAATAACAATAATTATTCCCTCCCCAAGCAGCTCAGTGTTTAAGTGTCCAATTACCGATTAGTGGTGACTCAAATTCCTGATTCAAACTATAAACCATATAGAATGCCTACTTCCTGACATTAAAATAAAAACTCTTTATTAGTAATAAAATCAAAAACATAAACCATTATACTTAATTAGTAACAAAGCAAAATACAGTACAAAATATTGGTCATGTATGATAATGCTGCTATATAATGATTAAACTCTCACCCTTCTTTTATCTTGTCTGCCTTAGATTTTTCATGTACTTGCAACTTCTCTAACTCTCCCATATAAACCTGCTTGTCCCTTGCCCTTTCCTCCTCCTCTTCCTCTTCTCTTGGCTGTTTTTGTAAGTCTGCATTGGTGTCCTCTGCATCCCAAGCCAAACGCCTTCTAACAGGTACAGTGGGAGCATCTAACACGCCCAATTTTCCTGTGATATTTTTCTGGGGCTGTTCTTCCAAGACAGGTCTTTTTTCTTCTAGTTTTGTAGAAGAACATTTCTGCAAATTCTTATGACTTGTAGGATCTCTGCATAACAAAATAAGTTTTATTTTAAGGTTTATAGTTTATACTAATTTTAATGAGCCACCATTCCCTTCTACTATTCACAACTATTCATTTCCCACAGATATTGCCTAGCCCAGATACTGAAGAAAGAAATCTAATTAAGAGTTCATTTTAGCCCTGACCAGTGTGGCTCAGCTGGTTCGGCATTGTCCTACAAAGTGAAGGGTCGCTAGTTCGATTCCTAGTAGGAGCACATACCTGGGTTGTGGGTTCAGTCCCCAGTCGGGGCGTGTAGAGAGGCAACCGATCAATGTTTCCCCTTCACATCGATGTTTCTCTTTCCCTCTCTTTCTCCCTCCCTTCCCCTCTCTCTATAAATAAATAAAATTGTTTTTTTAAAAGAGTTAATTTTACAATATAATAAAATTATGATCTGGAGTTGCTATTAAAATACTCCAAAATAAAATATATTTATCTCCTCTTACCCCCACCTTCACACATACATGCCTGAATCACTACTGACAAAACTCATCCGTATCCCCTAAACTGGACTTTGTATATACATACGGTCTAACTTGTTCAGTTACTCAGAGTTTGTATATAAACTCAAGTGTACTTGTGGATCTAGTCAGCGGGTTCAAATTTTATGCTTTAAATAGAGTAATCTTTTCCTGACATTATTAAATAGATTTTGTGATGAATTTTTAAAATCAAATGTCACATAATTAAAATTTACAGTTCAATTTGGTATGTGTGACTATATTAACATGCTGTAACCACTAAAAACTATTTTATTTGCTACAAATCAATGCGCTATTTCTCTCACAAAAAGGTAAATCGTTTCACTTTAAATTCCAACACAGCAGAAAATTTTCCCATAGAAGCAGGACCTACGTTACATATTAACCATGAAAATTTATTAATAAATTACAATGGGTATGTACTAATAGCTTATTTTTAAAGTTCTTTTACAGCTTCTGTATAATCATCCCTATTCTACTTTTAATTGTTAACAAGGAGTATTATAAAATCCAGTCTTCTAGATTCACATTATGTATTTACACACAAGTGCTTATAGCAAGTATATAGTTTTATTTTTCAGAAAACTAAAAATAGAGAAATATAATGACTAGCATATCTCCATTTAACTAAATGAATTTTGAGTCACAAGTCATTTACCTATATAATTCCATGATCTACATAAGCTACAAACATACTTTTTCACCATATACAAAAAACATCTCACCCAGCAAGATCTAGTGCTCTAATGTTACTACTAATAGTTCCTTCTGAGCTTGTGGTCGAGGAGACATCCCAAAAGTAGTTCTTATCAGACAGAATCTGATTCAGATGGTCCCGAGAAAAATGTGTTCCCTGAACTCGTTTCCTATAAAATTCAGCCTTCTCTCGGAGTTCTTTAACCTATACAGGAGAGTTAAGACATCAGGTATTACTGTAAATCCTCCTTCATAAATATCACCAAGTAGCATATAAAAGACATTGCGCACGTACAGCCAGAGACCAAAGAGAAAGGAAGGCAAAAATAGCCACATATATTCATCAAACTATGTGCATTTTTAAGCAGAAATTAAAACAGTCACGCTAAAGCACAATGCAGTTATTTCAGGCCAGCAGGCAGGAAGAAATTTGTAGCAGCTAAGAAAAATATTGACATCTACTTCTTAATTTGACTGAAATTACACAAGTACTCTTATACATTATTACAGTTTTTTAAAAACTCAAAAGCAACCAACCTCTGCATACCACATTGCATTTAGAGAACCCTAGGGAAGGAATACAGAAACATACTTAATGACAGTTAATGCCATAATAGAATATTAATGGGAATCAATGAAATACCTATTATTCTTCATTCTAAATACACACGCACACACATACACACACAGACACAAACACACACACACCAAACTTGTCAACCAAATTTTTTTAGTATTTTTGTAATATCTAATTCAGTAACCAAGACATGTTAATGTTAATATCACCTCAAAAACCAGCCACATTATTGCATGGCTGGGATGCTGTCCATGACAAGTTACCTAATTACTATTCCTACTTCCCCACCACTGGATTACTGAAATGCCCGAAACCCCTAGCCCCAGTCTTAATTTCCTAGTTTTATATACACTTAGTATCAGCATAGAAACCCCACAATGAGACAGTCACAAAGTTTCCCCCTCCAAATTCCTCAATATTTCCTTGAATCAACAAATCCTCAACTTTTAAAAAATATATTAACGATATACTAATTTTTTAATCCCACAAAATAGTAATTGTAATACATTTAACAAAGTAACAGAATATTTAAAAAAATGTTCTGGTGAACTATAAAGCAATTTGAATTCCCTAATGCATGAATAACATTTGCATGTGAAATGGAGCCCTTGGCTTCATTGGAAACCCTTTCATTTTATACATAATACTGCCACCTGCTGGCTTCCACAATGTAAGAAAATTACTCTTCAAAACTGTTTAAAATAATCTGCTTAATGTTATAAACCAATGTTACCTCAATAAAAATTAAAATAAATAAAATAATCTTTATTCTCAAACAACAAATTTTTTCCATCATAAAGATGGACGATTAGCATTAAAAGGATATCTGGGTACTGTCTGACTAAATTGCTTTGCTTTCACTTAAAGACAAAAAGCAAATACTAAAACTTAGCACTGCAAAAACAATTGGATAAACATATCCTCAGCTCCTTAATGAGACACTATTGAATGGGGAAAAAAAGAAAAAAAAAAGTTACATCTCTAGGGAAGTAGCCAAAATCAAAGGACAGCATCAAGCCATGGCATAACAAACTATATATATATGTATTTTTTTCTCAAAGCTGGGGGCAGGAGGTGACAAAAAATAATTAAGCAAAATTAACAGTCCTAATGCCCTAATAAACCAAACCTGAAACATTACTAAAGGATAATTCAAAATATTTTCTTCACTGCCAAAAACAATTGAGCCACGTTCATTTATCATTTCTGTCAGCTCCTATACTTCGAAGAAAACTATGAGTATAGCAAGTCCTCAAATAATGTTATTTCATTCAATGTCGTTTCATTATAACATAGATGAGATGCCACAGGAATGTAACTCGTTTATATCAATTAACATATGGTAAACCTGGTTTTGTGAAAGTCCTTTTGCTTAAAGTCACAGAACCCATCAATGATGTTAAGTGAGGACTTACTTTAGTGGATTTTGCATTTAACAGGCAGAATTGAGACACATTGGTTGAGTGTTGAATTACCATTACTAAACAAGGTATTCTGAATACACAGGACTTGTTATAACATGCCTTGATATAATCCAGATTTCTAACACGTATCCCAAGTTTCAAATGTTCCATGGCTACTCCATTAACTACATAAAACCTGCAAGCTTTAGCATCTCTTCCTCCTCTGTGTTCTTAAAGCCCTTCATGCATAACTCCATCGGTTCTTTTTTTGTTTTATTGTATTGTTTTCCATTAGCATGTAGTCCCCTTTTATCCCCTTCTCCCCAGAAATTACCACACTGTTGTCCATGTCCATGAGTTCTTTTCCTTTTTTGCTGAATCTTTCTACCCCCTAAACCCCCTGCCCCCGCCCCAGTAGTTCCTATTTTATCCTTCTGGAATAAATTGCTCATGTCCTTCTCCCCTATTAACCTATGAACTCCTTGAGGTGAGGAAGAATACAGCATTTAAACATTGTTTCCACAATCTGTCCAGAGTGTGTACTAAGTGCTAGGCCTGAGTTGAAGATAAGCAAGACAGTCCCTGTATTCAATGTGCTCACAGTTTGGTAAAGAAGGCAGATCTCCTCTATGATAGTTGTTATCATAATAATGGTTTGGTATATGCCATAATAAACAAATGAAATATAAGTTGAAGGAATACATCAAAAGAGGAGTCTATCAGTCCTGCGCTGTGTATAGGGTGGAATGGGAAGAAGCAGCAAAGGCTACATTCCATACATGTGGGAGGACCTTACTTTTTGATAAATGAGAGGGTGGACAAATATCCCCTCCATGTATATGGTGATCCAGTTTTATTTGACATCAGTTTCTTCAAAAGAGGGGGAGGAGATACTTACAGAAATACTGTAAAACTTGATTTACTCAGTTCTATTTGTTACTGATAGTCAAAACAATGCTTAAAATTTACCAGCCATCTTTATTAATAATATTAGTGCTGTTATATTTTGCAAATACATAATTTTACACTTCTATAATCCTGTACTAAGATAAAAAATTAAGAGAGTGACATCTCCCAAGTAAGGTGCTCTACTAGAAAGAGTAAAAAGAAAAAACAAGAAATCAATGGTGTGAGCTCAATATTAAGAAGAATCCATACAGCCAAGAACCAGAGACACTAAAAAGGATATAAATAAACCATTCCAAACTCAATGAAAACAACGCACACATCTCTTTCAAGTAATGTCATCCAACTATATGATATAATAAGCACTATAAGTAGGATGTTTTCATTTCTGAATTTCTTTTCCTAAATTAAGAACTAAATCACTTAAAACTTATATATACAGAAAATTCAAACTTAGAAAACTGAGGGGTGAAAAATAAAAACTCTTTTTTCCCAAAAATCATCCCCCAAAAGTGAGGAGTCATCTTTATACCTAGTAGTCCTTATAATGTGTGTCGAATTACAGAATGTGGGACTTTATGTTGAAAGACACATTAGAAAAATATTATCCAGAGAACAATTTGATGGTCATGAGATGGGAAGAGGTTGGTATAAGGGGTGAAAAAGATGAAAGGAATTAAGAAGTATAAATTGCATATAAAATGTCACAAGAATATAAAGTACAGCACAGGGAATATAGTAATATTGTAATAACTATGTTTAATCACTTCATAAGGCATATAAATATCTCATCACTATGTTGTACACCTAAAACTAATATAATACTGTGTGTCAGGTATAATTATTTAAAAATTTTTTTAATTACCTCAACCAATGTAATTTTAATTATTAGATTACCTAACAATAAAAAAAAAAAGGAAATTGAACACAGATTCAGTAGCTATTCTAAGGATAGGAGCTAACAATGATACTATGTGGTTATTATTAAAAACAATTCTTTAAGTGAGCATTTTAAAAGGAATAGTGCCAGTGTTTATATTATAGAGATAAATATACAACCACTGAACAGATAAAACCAAATACCCTAATGTTATATGAATAGGTACTTGGGACTTAGGATAAAATATCCAGTGACTAGACTATGAATAGATTTTAAAAGTACTGTATCACAAACAACATAGAAAGAAATGAAAATGATATATGGGCTAGAAAACTGTAATTTGATTCAAAAAGATGAGTTAACATTCTAATGATAACGAAGTCATTGATGTCCAAGTACATTTGATGAGTGTGAATAATATTCTTTCATGAATATTATTAGGAATGGGAAAGTGGGGAACATCTTATGTTTAGATACTTCATAGGCAGACCTGGTCATAGACATGTATCACCATCAGTAATCACTGACCTCTTTACTAAAAATGCTTATTCTTTTCTAACTCCAATTTACTTCTTGAATTATTTTGCCCATAGAGATTGAGGCAAACTGTACCACTAATTTAAATAGTTACAACCACCAATAGAAATTAATAAAACAAACTCCCCCCAAAAGTCATATTACCAAGGTATCGTAGTAAGAAAACTTGAAAAGACAGATCTTAAATTAACAACAAGAATGTTCTCTTCTATCACAGGGCAGAATGAGGACTGTTAACTTATCATCATAACTTCAGACATAAGAATCCCCTCAGTTCATTAAATGTTTAGATCTGAGGTCTAAATACCAACTCATCTTAGTTTAAAGAAGTCTCAGAGACTGAGATAATTTTTTCCAAAACAAGGAGTTTCTCCGGACAGGCCAGTGGCTGAACGGCTGACGCCACACTAGCCAGCCCTCTATGGCCACATTCTGTGTCCTGTCCTTTGCCCCCAGGTTTTCCTTACTCCTCATCAGACTCTTTAGACACAGAGCTACTCCCCAAGGTCTGGCATGGTCATCAACTGTTCAATGTATATATTTTTAACTTGATCTCACCAGGGTGAATAGATGAATTTTGCCCCTAATAACCTCTGGCACAGCTTTAAGCTTTGTCCCTTACTCTGCCTGTATTGCCCCGGAGCCATTTTCAAGAACGGCAGTAGAGAGAACCAAAAGCAGCCTCCACAGGAATCAAGTAACTCTTGAAACAACATTCGGAACACAGGGGTCACCAGGACATGGGTCTGGGAGCTGACAGTGCAAAAAGCCAGCAGCTCGAAGTGCCAACAACTTCTCCCAAAAGTTGATCACATGTCATTGTTAGCCATGGTTTTAAGTATGGAGCTAAATAAAATATTCATTCCCCATCCAAATCATCCCTCCCTTTACAATGATGGGGAGAGGGAGTGTTTAGTGGTGTCTAATCTAAACTGTTTTAATTTAGCTAATTCACACAGAAAAGGAAGAAAGCCATCAAGATGTAATTGAAAAGATGCCAATTAAACAATAACCAAGAAAGCTCCACTGTTTATCCTTTGGCTAGTACTAAACTAGCACTTCCCATTTCAAGGATTACCCTCTCCCTCAAACCTTTCTTTGGGATCCTCAGAATTTCCCCCATATGTCAGGGTATCCTGACAATACCATAACTCTAACCTCTATCAGCACAGGCCACTGCTTCCCTGTACTTACAGACTGTAACAGTACACATTGATAGGGGGTACCACTGTCAGACACACTAATCTTGAAAATTAATTAATTTCAATTGGAGAGTAGAGATCTCTATGTTATAATCAAATCTTTCATGTTATAATTCTATAAGCTAACTTTAGTAACATAATCAAATATTGACTATAAAAAACATCTTTAAAGGCTTTACAATAAATATCTCTAAGGAGCTAGCTGCTATTTAAAAAAGTAAACATACTGATAAATTATATCCTAATACATACAACTTTAATTTCCTAATACTTTTATTGCTATTATTGTATCATCCATCTTTAAATTGTCTCTATTACTAAATTAAACTCATTGTAAAATTAAACTGATAAAGGCTCAAAGAAAATGTGGGCTTACTGAGCTTATGTATACTCACCTGATTTGGTATATTTTCCTTCACACGTGTCCAAGCCCCAGCTTTATATAAATACTGGGCTGGGCTCAGAAATTTTGCTCTATATTCAGAATTCACCTTCCTGACAAAAATAAAATAAGAGTAAGTATATCACCATGTCAATCATCTAAATACTATGCTATTTATCTTATAAAAGACATACCCAAGCCTTTGATGTCTCCAAGGAGTGAACTTCTTTTTAGGCTGGTTTAAGTCTTTTGATTCCATCTCTGCTTCTAATTTTAAAGAATCGTCTGTTTTATTACACTAAAATGACAAAATTTAAACTTTTTATGCTAAAAATATTTTATACATTAAAGTGAAAGCATAAATGTTTAAAGTATATTGGATACCATATTACAATTCTGTTTTTAGAAGTCAGCTTTAACTACTAAAGATAACAAAGAAATCACAAGAAATTAACAAGCAAGTTTTGAAACTAGTATATCTATTTGGTTAGTGTTTTTGAAGTATACCTCAGGATACAACTTTGATTTCTAACAATTAAAATTTTAGATCCTTGGCTATGAAAAACATGTTTAATTAACAAACAAACATCTAAATAAATAAACTTTATGTTGCTGCCTTTTAAGTAATAATCTTCCACTTGGCCTTGATAGTCTAAATTTATATTTAACTGTTACAATAATTAAATATAAGGCTCTAATAAATTACCACATTGTTTACTGAATAACTTAATCACTTCTTTTCTCTCTGCCAAAACATCATAAGTCAAAAAAAATTTTATGTATGTATAAAATTTTACTTTTAGCCATATAATTTCTATTTTTAGAACCCATAAAATATCAGGTATGGCATTCCAGGGAATTAAAAAATAAGACTTATACCCCATTTACCTATAGCTTACAGTAATTTTAACCTAATCCTGCAACTTAAATAGCTGTACTTTCGCACAGAAGCAGGTGTTTGTATATCCTGAGGTAAAACATGTGAATTATACTGGCTATAACTTGGCATGTTATAACTTTGGCTTAATGTGCACATGTGTATGTGTGCTTGTGTTTGACTTCCATTATTTAATTTAAAGTATTGTATATGTTTCTGTAACTACTTTTACCCTTGGAGCCCACATTACTGTAAGGTCAAACGCTTGATATTAGACATAGCAGACTTGCTTAGCATCCATTACACTGTATTATATTTAACTATTTACATCTCTGTCTCCCCAATAGCCCAAGAAATGCTTAGAGCTTAGGGTGGTTATCATTGTATTCTCAGTAGCTACGCAATGCCCAGCTCCTGCTAAGTGCCCAATGAACATCTGGCATTTAATGAACAAACAAATGACTTAATGAACCAGCTAAAAACAAAAATTTCAAGTGCTGCTAAGTTAAAAAAAATCTGTAGAGTCTAAAATGAAGATTTTGTTTTGTTTAAAGAGTTGACGAATACCTTCTTTTCAGGAGATACTATTTCAAAATGTCCATTCTCTTTCAAATCATTTCTTAATTTCGGTTCTTTCACCGGAGATAAACCCTTGAAATTTCTTTTGTATTCCGTTTCATGGATTATTGAGTTACCTTTGAATTGTGGGACAAATTTGCTTTTATTGTGGAAAACCTTAAAACAAAAATTAGTTTAGTTTTTTTGTTAGTTAAATATACAGAACTCAGTTTTTCAACAGCTAAAAAAATTTCACACATAAAGTTAAATCACAGGATACAAAAAGAGGCAAAATTATATATGACTCTAATTTCATTTGACATGTCTAATTAATATCCAAAGAGCAACAAAAGCAAATAGACAAATGAAATTGCATCAAACTAAAAGCTTCCATACGGAAAAGAAAACAGAGTAAAGAGACAATATATGGAATGGGAGAAAATACACGCAAACCTTAGATCTCATAAGAGGTCAATATTCAAAACATATTAAGGAACTCAAACAACTCAATAGCAAGAAAACAACCTAGTTTGAAAATGGGCAAAGATGCATAAAAACAGACACAGAGATCAATGGAACAGAATAGAGACCCCAGATATAAATCCACACATATATGGTCAGTTAATTCACAACAAAGTAGCCAAGAATATAAAACGGGAAGAGGACAGTACCTTCAATAAATGGTATTGGGAGGACTAAACTGCTGTATACAAAAGAATGAAACTGAGCTATGCAGCCTTACACCAAACACAAAGATCAACTCAAAAATGGATTAAGACTTGAGCGTAAGGCCTAAAACCATAAAAACTCCTAGGAAAAAACATAGCAGATAAGCACCTTGACATGAGTCTTTGAGACAATCTTTTGAATCTGACATCCAAACTAAAGGCAACAAAAAAGCAAAACTAAACAACTAGGACTATATCAAACTAAAAAGCTTCTATACAGCCAAGGAAACCATCAACAAAAGCAGCCTATAAAATGAGAGAAAACATTTGCAAGTCATATATTTAATAAGGAATAATAATAATAATACAACTCAAAAGAAAATAACCAAAAAATCCAATTAAAAATGGGCAGAGAGACTGAATAGACATTTTTCCAAGAGGACATACAAATGGCTCGTAGGTATACAAACAAAAGATAAGCATCATTAATCATCAGGAAAATGTAAATCAAAACCACAATGAAACAGTCACTTCACATTTGTTAGGATAGCAATTATCAAAAATACAAAAGATAAGCATTGGTAAGGATGTGAAGAACCCCTGTTCGTTGTCAGTGGGAATGTAAATTAGTAGAGCCATTATGGAAAACAGTATGGAGGCTTCTCAAAAAATTGATAACAGAACTACCATAGGATTCAGCAATTCCATTTCTGGGTATATTTCCAAAGGACGTGAAAGCAGCATCTCAAAGTTCACCTGCGCTCCCCTGTTCACTGCAGCATTATTCACAACAGCCAAGACATGAAATGAACCTAAGTGTCCATCAACAGGTGAATGGATAAAGAAAATGTGGCATGTCTACACAATGGAACATTATTCAGCCTTAAAAAAAAGAAAAAGAACCCTGTCATTTGCAACATGGATAAACCTGAAGAACATATGCTAAGTGAAATAAGCCAGGCACAGAAAGACAAATACTGCATGATTGCACTTATATGTGGAATCTATAGAAGCAGAGTGGGATGCTGGCTGCCAGGGGCTACCGGGTAGGGAAAATAGGGAGATGTTGGTCTGAGAGTCCCAAATTCAAATAATGCAGGACAAGTAAGTTCTGCAGATCTCAAGTACAGCATGCTGACTATAGTTAATAATACTGTATTACATACTTGAAACTTGCTAAGAGGGTAGGTCTTAAGAATTCTCACCACGAAAAAAGGTAACTGTGTAGTGATAGATGTATTAGTTTGATTGTGGTAATCATTTCACAGTGTATACATATATCAAAGCATTACATTATATACATAATATATACTGTTAGTCAATTATACCTCAATAAAGCTGGAAAAAAATCCAAAGGTCAATTTTCTATATTCATTACTATTTTTTGAATAATAGCTATTATTATCAAAATAATACTTAAGCCAAAAAAAATAATGAACCATATCTTTTCTCCCCAAAGTCTCTCATTTGTTTGGTAATGGGATTCGGAGAATAGGCATATTTTAATAATATGAACATAGACATTAGCTTTACAAGGCAACTCTACAGGTTGTCAGCTCTACAGGTTTTTTTCAACATGAATTTTTTTTCTTCCTGCATAAATAGAAAATTGTTAACATTTTGAAAGGCTGGTATGTTCATTTTTCTGTATTTGTTTCTGTGCTTGTTTATTTTTAGTTTAAGACAAGGGAAAAGTCATGTAATTATTATGTTTCTATTTTTAAATGTTTCCTTTTATGTTTAATACTTCAAAATATGGTTTCCAATTATGGTATATGACTACCGATTACAAGGAAAACAAATGAAAAAGATGGAGCTCAAATAAAGTATACTATTGCTTTATAATTCTGAACAGTATATCTTCATACAGATTGAATCCAAACAGTGTATCTTTTTAAGATACATTATAACCTGGAGTATTTTTCTGGCAAAAATTGCTCTGGCTCATTTACATGTTAATAAAAGACATCCTTTCAGAAAACAGGTGTCTGATAAAAGAGAACTAAATAGCTCTTTCAGAGGTCTCCATCAACAAGCATTCAATTTCTGTCACAGAGCTCTTCAATCCATAGACCCTGAAATTGATATGCTTTGAAGTAACAAAGAGTATTTGCGTCCTCCTCCAAATTCTTTGAAACCCTCATAATGAAAGCAGTAAAACTACTCAAGTTTTGCCAGTGATTTACATTATACTTCTCATCCTATAAAAAAAAATTTCTATACAATACTTTCACTGAAATACGTAAAAGTTGTTTGGGGCTTTAATTTGAATCAGCTCTATTTTATAAGTGAAATACTCTATGAAAACTGAAGAATTCACAATTTTCATGTATTAAGTAATTTTTAGGTACACTTACTATCCAAGGATACTTGTAAACCAGCAAAAGAAGTATTGATTCTATTTACAAGTTCATAAAGTGTTCATATTACTTTATATAATTTTATATGTTCCTAATATGTTATATAAATTTTAGGTTTTTTAAAAAAGCTGAATAACAAGTAAATAAGCCCAAAGCTTCCACAATATATAGGATCACTGCTATTTATTATCGTAGTATAAGATGACTGATGTTCTTGCCTTGCTGAATCTACCGTCTCAGTCCTTAGGGGTATATAGTAAATGTAGCAAAACAGGAGAAAATGAATGTAAGGATGTGTGAAGGTGTGTGTGTGTGCACACAAGCATGTTTATAGAGAAAAACACAAAGATAAGGAGACACAAAAGTCTGAGCTGTCATGACCCTCTGGGGATATTCTAAATGGAAGTATTTCCTACCTAGACATAGGAGTATGTTTAAGAACATAAATGAGAGTTAAGAGCCTAAGAACTGTCTAGAGGATGACAGTAGTAAAACAAAAGAATATTTATTAGTAATGGTAATCCAATACTAAAATTGTGCAAACATACATGAATCTAATATCACATTTAGTTATCATTATAGCTTTTAAATTTTATAAATATAGTTAAACTGTCAGTTCCTACGACTGTTCATTTAATAAAAGGATAAAATTAAACATCTTCTATTGCTATAAAAATATTTTGTATTTATTAAAATAAATACCCAAAGCAGTTATGCCTTTCTTAGAGAACAGAAAACATATACTGGTCAACTAAACACGTTTTATAATCAAACCAATTTAATATTTTTTAAATAAATAAAAGAACTCCCAGCATGCAAAAACTTACCAGTCCCTAGGTTTTCATTACCCCGTCTCATATTTAGTACACATAATGGATGTGGCAGCAATGATCGTCAGCAGCCTAGGATAGTACACTATTACTACTATAAATCACAAATAATAGAATGATTTTAGCAAGACTCTCATTTTCACTTCTCTAGAACCTACCTCCAGGCCTACTTAAGTATCTCATTTCTTTCAGCAATTAGTTCTATGTAAATCTGCATAACTAGATTAAATGATGATATTCAAAAACAAACTACCATCCATTGAACTACCTGATTGGCTGCAAAAATTGGAGCAGTTTCTTTAGGGGTCTTCCAAACAAACTGCCTTTGATATTCAGAATTTCTCAAGACACTATGTGAAGGAACAACAGTCAATCCAGCCTTCTTCTGCAGAAATCTATCCAACTGTCAGGAAAAAGAAAAATCTCACTCAAAGTCATTTAAAATTTCCATTCAGACTTTTTTTTTTTTTACTGTGGTAAAATAAACATACAGCACAGCATTAATTAATTATATCCGCATGTGGTATAACTAACTTTTCTCCATTGAAAATCTTCCTTTTAAATTGTCAAACTATTTAAAATTCCTTTAATACTGTTGAGAAATTATTATGCCTCCCACAAAAAGATTGACATCTCTCAGTTCCTCCTTACCAATTATTTATAATTAAAGCTATTACTAAGAACCAACAGCCCCTTGCTCCATGCACGCAAATTGCTTCTGGGACACCCCTTCCCTTGCCCACCAGACTTACGCATCACCTTCCTCGATTCCCCTACACCCCTAGTTTTCACAAGCCACAGGTTCTTCTCCAACACTTCTAAATGCCTCTCCGTGGGTCCAGTCCGCAGGGGACATGAAATGGGGAAGCAGCACAGTGGAATGGAGAAAAATGTGGGAGGCAGTGAGATGTCTGCCCGGGTCCCTGCAGCTTCTGCTTATGTGCTCTCAGGGACCTTCTGCAGGCCAGCTATGACATAAGAGAGAAGAACTGCAAGGTCTTTGAGGTCCAGCCAAAACTCTCCTTTCTTTTGCATTTCATCAATTGAGATTCTGTTGTTGTTGTGTTTCTTTTCCTTGCTGGTATACAATAATAAATTGAAAAGAGCCTAGGTAGAAGCCAGCTCACCATCCCTGCCAGAGGTAATGACCTAGTCCCCTTCTCTGTCTCAACTTGATCTCTCCCTTAGGACTCAGGTGCTGATATATGATGAATAAAATCCAGAAGCAAGCTGTCTACCCAATGAAGAGATACCTTAGTATAACTAGTACAAAGTGACTATTAAGAATAGAGCTAACTCACAATAAAGTCAACAGTCTCTTGTTAACTATTCTATAAACAAGAAAACAACAATGGCAAAATTTTAAGCATTAAATGTAACATTTCGAAAATAATGAAATCTACAAAGAATTCTATGCTTTTGTAAAGAAATACCATGAGTAGACTTACCTTATTATCTATGTTTTCGGAGAGAAGCTTAGTAGAATTTTCCAGTTCCACATTTTCATTAACTGGTATATGGTTTGCTATTACATCCTTATTATTGTCCACAATATCTGAAGCCCCTTCAGCTCTGGATTCTGCAGAGTGAGATCTGGTTCTCTTGGGAACCCTGGAGGCTTCTAGTGCAAGAACTCTTTCTTGGTTAACATCTTTTTGTTCTGCCTCTTGTGATTCTGGTGTCTCTGGGGCTTCAGGCTGTGGTGATACAACCACATCATTCTCTGAGATCGTCCCATTCCACTCAAGAGATTTTGAAATCTGTGGGTCATGGCAAGGGACTCTTCTTTTTGAAATAAAACTTGGCTCTTTCGTGATTCCTACAAAATAGAGCATAAAAAAGTAGCAGCTAGCAAAGCATAAAGTTGCAAAGACAACTTGTAATAACACCTATGAGAAGAGAAATGAAATTTAAAATTCAGTTGAGAATGTAATTTTTCAACATAAAATCTTTAATTTTGTTTCAAAGAAATATTATAAGTTTAACCATTAAAAACTTTAAAATTAGGGTCACAATGTTCAAGTTATCCTCACCCAAGTCACTAGAACTGCAACGTGACGGGCCTGGCAAGTCAGGCAGCACGTGCTGCCTCCGTTTCTAATTACTTTCCTGTGCTACTTAATAGAACAATGGGCCCTGGTAGTGTCAAAATTTGGAACTTTTCACAAAGCTTCTCTTATGCAGAGCAGACCAAGATGAGAAGGGATGAGATGTCATTATGCTGGATCTTGGTTCTACATTTGCCTTGATTTCCTGAGAATTAAAGAGAATGAACCCTTTAAACAAGAGCTAAGATACTATTTCTCTATATTTCTGTCTGGCAAGCAAATGTCCAAAAAACTTCACCGTCTGCCCAGGTAAGAGGAGCTCTGTGGAATCACAGCCACTAAGATACTGCCCCAGTTTGGGGCCATTCTTTAAATAGAAAGAAGACTGGGCAGGGCGGGGAAGAAAGGTAAGACTAGAAGGGAAGGGAATGAGACGGGAATGGAGAGAAAATCCGGCAAGAGGTAAATAAAAGCCAGGGTTCTTTAGCCTCTATCATGGATGTTTCAGCCACTGAACACAAAGTCGCCACCCATATAAGGTTTCCTTAGACCAGTGGTCTTCGATCTGAGTGCATATATGTCTGGAGGCACACAGTCATTGGTGGCAGGGGTGGGGCAGTGGGCAGCTTCAGGGAACCATTTTCCAGATCTTAACTTCCACGTCGTACTTCCTGAAACTGATCTCCCCAAGAGATGCATCTGCCATCTGTAGTTTTATTTCCTACCACCCCTTTCATACTCACTTCTTTCCCACTTCCCAAAAGAAAGACACACCTCTCAATCAGCCCCAGTGAATAAAAAGTATCTCATAGGTAGGGAAGGAAAACAAAGGGACAATTCAAGAAAGCATAACTCCTGAGGGAGAATATATGACAGCAAAACAAAGAAGGCAGAGATGAGAAATAACAAAGGCACAGCACCTTATTTCATCCAGTTCCACATCTTTCCATCTACCTATGTTAGAATTAAAATTCAGGTGTAAGAATCCCATCATGTGAAATGCATATATGTCTATTAACATATTTATTTGGATTGAAAAAGTTAGACCTTTTCTCTCCCAGAAAATAATTTTGATTAGTTTTCCCAAGGAAGACTAACTTTATCAAGTCTATCTATGATGAACATTTACCATAAACTGAATGAGCTAAAGTGGCAGCTCCAGTTTTAACAAAATACATGTAAAATACCTAATATATCAGAAATCACATTCTTTGAAACTATCTGTTTTTTATATATATATATATGATAAAAAATTAAATATCAACTTAAAAATGTGAAGGAATACAAAGACGTTCTAAGTTCTTTTAGGGAGTATGCAAAGCTTAAGTTTGAAGACCACTGCCCTAGACTTCCCTCTGCTTTAACACTGAATGGGGCTTTGGGTAGCAGAGCAAACTAAAAGGGGATGATTCTCAAGCAGCCTGCCCTTGTCTCCCAGGACCAGCGAAATACACTATAGGGACAAAATATGCTTTATTAACAGAATGCCCAGCCAGTCCCAGATAACACTGCTGTTGTTCCTGGCTTGCCTCCCATCTCCCTTTATGAACATCCTGGAGTTCTCGTTCTGGCTTCCCCCTTATCTAATATTTAATATTCTCCATTAACATGTCTCCTCCTCTAGACCATTCCTCCTTTTGTAATATATCATTCTCCAAAGTGGCTTTGCTCTCACGGTTTCATATCACCTCTCAACCCTCAAATATACCTCATCGAAGCTAAAATGTCATGGAGGCAACTGTATGGTTACCCAATTTCCCAGTGTCATAACATCCCTCTAGACCCTCAGTAGGGCAACCATACTTTAACAGAGATTTATTTTGGATTCCTAACCTAATGGAGCCTCAAATCTGTGGAATTTCAGTCATTTAGAGAGGATTAAGAGCACCATCCTGCCCAAGAAGTAAGACATCTAGCCTTTGAAGTCAGGCTCTGGGCAAAGGATCCTAACACTTCAAACGATCCCTGAAAGAGCCACCCCTCTAGCCAACTCTTCTCCTTATTCTGTAAACCTAATCCTGGAAACACTCTCATTTTACTAATTTCCCAGGCTTGGCACCCCACTCATAAGCCTATTCTTTTCCTGGCGTAAAGTAACATTTGAGGGACTTACATACCACACACAGACACTCTCACACGTCACATATGAGGCACCAAGCACTCATTCATCTCTATCTATTCACCTGGCCCTTAACAGGCGACATCTCATTTAATCTCTCCCAGCAATCCTGTGCAATGTGCTTCCTATATCTCATTTGGTGAAACAGGCCAAATTTGCCCAAGGTCACACAGCTAATGTGGATTCAAACTCAGGTTTATTTATTCAGTCTATTTTCAATAAGCACTAGAGTGTGTCAAGTACTGCATGGTAACAAGGTGGTAAAGGCAAACAAACAAGAGCCCTGCTCTCAGAGATCTTACAGTCGAGTGAGGGAGAATTAAGCAAGCAGGTAGAACAAAGTCCATCTGCCTCTTTTCCCCTCTACCATGCTCCAGGAAGCCTTGCCCCAGGGCTCTGACTTCCCTGGTACACAGGGAGGGAGCGTGCATGATGGCAAGGATGCGGCCTCTGAATTAGGGCTCTGAACAGTACAGACTTGATTTCAAACCATGGTTCTATTATTTACTAGCTGTGAACCTTGGGCAACCTACTTAATCTATCCAAGCTTTAATTCCTCAACACCTTGGGAGTGCCCCTTCCCAGGCTTACTTACTACTCTCAGCTTTCACGTCTCAGCTCAGATATCAAATCTAAAGCATATTTCCTCCAATCCATCCGTCCCCAAAGTTATCTATCAGGCTACCCTACAATTTTATAAAACCACCTAAAATCCCTTAGTTTATTTACTGAGTTACTTGTACTGTTCTTCACCACAGTTAAGGGTCCTTATCTAATTTGAGGCTATATCCCTAGAAGCTAGGAATACTACTGGCCTAGAGTAAATCCTCAATAAATATCTGTTAAATAAACTAATGAATAAGTCAACCAGGTCAACTGACCAATGTTTCACAATTTTTAAAACATTTTGTAAACTCACCCCAAGGCTTATTCAAATTATAATGACTTTCAGTTTGCCCAACTTACCTAATTGATCTGATCTAAGTCCAGCCCATGGGTACCTTCGCCCCACTGAGGAATTACAGGACTCTGACAAGTATGACTTTTTCCACAGAAAGTTCCTCTGGTATTCACTCAGCCCCTGTAAATGCAAAGTACAATTTGAGTACAATGCAATTAATTAACATTGTTTTAAAGCAGGCATCAGTAAAAATAATTCCTGAACCTCTAAAAAGGATTGCAAGACTTAAGATTGATAATTAAACAAAGAAGAGCTCCTAGCTAATATTTACCCAGCCCTGTGCTGAGCAGTTCATGTGTTATATATCCTTTAATCCTCGCACCCACTTGAGGCAGATGCTAGCAGGAATCTGAGGCCAGGGCGTCTACCTTCTCGCTGGCTGTCTGATTCCAAAGCCTGAGCTCTTCTCTAATAACAGCGACAAACTAAATCCTCATTACTATAATTATCCTAATTAAGGTCTCACCGAGTACACAATATTATGTATTATGCCTAGTACCTTTCAAAATTTTGTAAAGTCAACTAAAAAAGGAAATTCCCCTCCCATTCTGGATTCAAACCCTTAAAATAAAAGGCTGAGACAGTCAGGGTTTGTGGAAAGCTGTGGTTAACTGTTAATGTTGAAGAAGTGCTTGACCCTGTCAGCTACCTGGAACTTTTAACGAACCAAATGCACAGCTATGAATAATGTGTGTATCTTATACCCTGTCTTTATCCTGTCAAGGTCTCATTTCTCAAGCCTTTAAAAGACAAACGCACTTTAAAGTTTTAAAGGGGAGAGGTGTTAAATGCTAGGCTGTGAAATGGGCCACCAATGTCCCAATCTGAAGCCCGTTATAAAGTACTCCCTCTCCATCATCATTCCTCTGAGCCTCCGAAACCTATCTCAACACCACCTAGCTCTACTACACGGTAAATCGGAAGTGAGTGTGAGCGGAGAGAGAGCTAGGAGAGGAGACGAACATCCTCCAGGACTGTGGCAGGCAGACTCGGGGGCTGACAGGCTCTGCGGGGCCGAGGGGCGCGGCGCCGAAAGCCAGCGAGGCCCCCGCGCCCCGCACCCGCCCCGCCACAGCTCCCCCCATCAGCCTTCGGGCCCAGGGACCCCGGCCTCACCTTGAAGCGCACCGGCATGTCGCCCGGCGCTGGAGCCCCCTGCACTCCGACAGTTAACGGGACAAAAAGCCCCGAGGGGGCGGGGCAAACAACAGTCGGTTCCCTAGCAAAACCCTCGGCCTGGCGTCCCCAACTACGCGCCGGCGCATTCCTCGCTTCCCTCCTTGAGCCCTGTCGCTCTGCCTTTCCCCGCCCATTCTGAGACCTGAAAACCAATAGAAATTTGGAAAACTGCTTGCCGTCATTAAGATTTCCCCAATCGATGCCCGAAGCGGGAATGCCCGCCTCCCGTGCCAAATCCCGAGGGCTAATAGAGATGGCGGGCGGAAGACCAGCCAATGAGACTCCCAGGACCGCGGTGGGCGGGACCCCGCGGGAGGTTCGTCTGGAGAAACGGGCTCAGGCTGCCGGTATCGCGGGCTCCAGCGCAACAATGAGAGTAGCTGCCGGTGGAATTCGAATGTCGCCGGCCTCGCTGGGCCAAAGTTCCTGACGTCACAAAGCAAGGAGATGTGTTCTTAATTACAAAATGTAAGACGGACCGAATGTGTGTTTTTCTCAAGTAAAAATATTTAAGTATATTCTCCTGATTATCAGTTCCTATAACCAAAAGCCATGTTAGACTACTTACTGTCACTTCGAAAGAGAAAGGCCAAAAAATAACTACAGCTTAGGCAGGGGGAAAAAAAAAAAGTTTTTATTAAATCTTCAAACACAAACTGCAGACTTCCAATGGTGTTCTTGCCTCCCATAATCTCCCCTCAAAAAAAGGTACATATAACTCTTAGATTAGAAACATTAATTAATGATGCTTGTAAGTCTCAACTGCCTCCCCTCTCACTGTCCTTTTAAATTCCATTTGATTTTAATAAACTTGCTATTAATAACTCTTATGATTCTACCTTTGATAGAACATCGTGCTGACCCTGAGAATGGATAAGAAATAAATCGTCTAGACAGTTCTGTAATATACTTGAGGAGAATGAACATATACTTATTCAATAATAGTATACTGTATCATGTGGTACTTTCCCAAAAGATAGGTGTAAGTGATAAGAGCTATAGGAATAGGAGGAGGGTGTCATCCCTAAGGACAGAGATGATTAGAAAAAGCCTCAAGAGGAAATATGCAGATTCAGCGTTGAAGATCAGAAGGACTGAAATAAATAAAGAGGGGAATGGGATGATCAAAGCACAGATGTCTGAATGGAATGGTGCCGGGCTTCTTCCAGGAACAAGGGATGCAGTGCCTTTTACTTTTGTCATTTGTTGACTGAAGAAAAGTATATCCCCTCGTTTAAACTTTCAAATATTAATACCAATCCTTGATGGTGTTTTTTTAAGCGTGTTCTGCAAAGACTTGTCTTCCTGAATCCTGATTTATATCTCTGTTCTTCTTCATCTTCACCGAGATACTTAAAAATTCATTTGAAGGATCCACCTGATATCTGTAACAAAGAGAATATTAAATTAGGCTCAGTGGGCCATGCGTCCATGGAGGCCCTTGAGAAACATTAATTGGTGATGACAGTATCTCTACCATGTAAAATAAGAATAGCGCAAACAAGACACAATGGAACATAAAACAAAAGTCCTTTGCAGGAAAGCAGCCCAGATCTTATAGAGTAGGAAAGACACAGCTCTGGTTGAACACAGCTTTGTGACCACATGACTGGTGAAATCAGTAAAAGCAAGCATACAAAACAAGGGCAACAATAACTGCAGTAGTAGATCTCTGCTGAACGGGGAATAAATGACAAGAAAACCAAGCAGCAGATGGTAAAAATAACATAGTCACTATCTGAATTTGCTAATATGTGTTATAGGAAGAAGACTATTTTATTTTATTTTTAAATGAAAGCCTACCCCATTTTTTGAAGGAAAGATATAAAAATGAAAAAAGGGACAGGCTTAGCAAATGAGTTTGTAGTCTGTTACCTGCTCTTACACTTTGTGATACTGCTGCAAACAGACTCAGTATCATATCAAGTTCTACCCAAGTGTTTTGGGGAGTCCCTAGAAAGTGTCTCACATGTGCTTACAGATACCACATAAACTATACCCAGCAGCACTGCCAATAGTTGTGCTATTCCAGTTACTACTTATTTGTCGATGTCTCTTGCTGCTGGCCACCACAGCTGCATTTGCTGGGTACTGAGTCTCCCTGGACACAGCATGAAGCCCCTCCAGACAGCCCAATCTTGCTGGTGATCTGAGGCAAGCCTCTCTTCCTTTTTTGTGTTACCTTCTCTCTATTAAGTGAGTATCAAAGTATTGAAGAGAACTTTTACATTTGCATTTTATCTTCCCTCCTGCCCCAACGGTTCAAAGTGAAGTCAGTCCATGGAGTCTGGGCCATAAAGTAATTCCTCAGTCGATCTCATTCTGTACTCAGATGAGCTCTCTTCCACTAGTTAAGGCCCTCTTACTGGGACAAGGGCTCCCTTTTCCCTTTGTAAATTTCTCTGTTTCTCACACAAATATTTGTTTATTGCCTTCAGGAGACTAAATTGGTACAACCTCTACAAAGGGTAATTATGCAATCCTTTCTTTTAACCCAACAATTTCACTTTTGTAACTTTATGATGGAGACATGCTTGCCCATAATGTGAAAAAATATTTATTTGAGGTTGTTTACTGCATTGTCTACAGGAACAAAAGTTGAAAGCAACATAAACATCCATCTGCAGGGGACTAATTAAATACATTATGATTTCCTTAGGACCCAGAGCAAGGGTAGGCTGTGCAACAGGTTCACATGTCAGTGCAGGCTGCTCTGTTCCTTCAGGTCTTCTAATCCAGCAGATCCAGGGGTGGACCCTATTGGGTAGGACCTCCTTCAGGTTTTAAGTTTTACATTCATCAGGATCCAGCCAGGAAAACAGAAACTATCAGAAGCATTTCGACAAATAAAACTTAATATAAGCTATTGGCTAATTAGTTATTGGAGAACTTTAAAAAGCTAAAAGGAGAGAAAGAAAATAGTAATTCCAGGAAGCACCCTGGCTACTATGGCTCAGTTGGTTGGAGCATCACCCCATAGACTGAAAAGTCATGGGTTTGATTCACAGTCAGGGCACATATCCAGGTTGTAGGTTTGAGCCCCGGTCATGGCATATCCAAGAAGGTAACAAATGAATGTTTCTCTCTCACATCAACGTTTCTCCCTCACTCTCCATCTAAAAGCAATTTAAAAGTGTCCTCGGGTAAGGATTTAACAAAAAAAAAAATTTTTTTTTAGATTCCAGGAAGCAGTTTACACCCCTGAGGCTGGAAGAACAGAAGGAAATTGTTGAGGTTACTTCAACACAGAGGTTTGCTGGAGAGGGCTCATGGCCGGCTCTGAGAAGGGGTCACTGCCTGGCTGGGACTGGTATCTCAGGGGACAAAATTGGGAATGCCAAAAAAAAGGAAAAGGGGGGAAAAATCTGGAGGCTACAATGAACCGCCCACAATGGAGTAAAACGTTACTGTTAAGGTGTTGCTGAGAGAAAAGGAGCATTCTGGTCACTAGGATCCTCTCTTAGCAGACCTAACAGGAAGCTAGCCGGGTAGGATCTTAAAACAAACAAACAAACAAACAAAAACAAATTGTAGAAGAGTGTGATACTATCCCATAAATTGAAGTAAAAGGAAGACGAATAAAAGAAAGAAAAAAATATCATGTAGTGGCATCTTTCACAGACACTGTTCCCCTCACTCATGAATTTAACTACATTAGCAGCAGCTATGAAGATAAAAAACATTTTATTCAACTTATAAATAGATGGAAACTTTAAGGTATTGGTAACTATTATTAGGGCTTTCCTCTTTACATAACTCTTGTCGAACCTTTCTAAATTCACTTTGATTTATACACATCACAATAAGGCTGTTGCTTCTTTGAGACAAAAACATCAAAATCCTTTAAAGCAACTTTTATTTGCATTTGAAATATAAATATATTACTCAGTCTATTAAAAACAGGAAGTCAATCACTTCACAAATCTAACAGTCTCCCTTTGTTTTCTCAGTAGCAATTGAAACATTGGATAATTTGTATTTGCCTCTAACTATATTTAATTTTATTTAACAAACAAAAAATGTATTATATATAAGTAAAAATAGTGTCAGACTACAAGAGTTGAAAGAAAATATACAAAGATTAGTTAAGACACAGCCCCTGCCTTCTAATCTGATTACAATCAATTTGCGGGTACAAACACAAAGACCACAGGAAATGAAAGAAGGAAGCAAGGAAGGGACTAAATGTGAGCACCCTTCTGTTCTGAAGATACTTTTAACTCTAGTGCCAGAAAGTTTGTTCTATGTCTGAGGACTAAAGAGCAGACAGGATAAGGGAGCTTCTTTTAAATTCCATCCTGGGAAACACCTGATCTGGAGGACCTTTCACTTTCTCTTTTGTTCTGACCTAGGTAGCTGAATCCAGGCCAGATGATCCTGGGGAAGATTTAACTAACATTTTCTCAATATTGGTTCCCGCAAAGGTAAGTTACTTGCTGTCTGTTGCCTGTCTTTTATTTCCTTGTTGCTTCAGAAATCAAAGGAAAGCAGAAACTGCAGTGTTCTCGATATTGCAGCCTGTATTTGCATATATATAATTTTCTCTAAAATGCCTTACAAGGTAACTTGAAAATCCAATTTCCAGGCTTAGTAAAGCTCTTGAGCTTCTCCTCTTGGGTCACACTTAACTGGACTTCCCTTGGTAAATCTTGAGCTTAGCCTTTGCCAAAAAGCAATCAGTTTGAGAACTACTTAGAACTATTTTCTTTGGCATTTTTCCATAGGTATTAACTTCTTTTTCTTCATATGAATTTGTGATTGCACAAGTGAAAAAAATGAGAAAGTTAAATCAATGAATTCTGTCTCAGAAGCAAAATTGCTGATTTTGTACCTTAATATCAGTAAGAATAAGCAGGATCAGTGATTAAGACTTACCATTGAGCCAAGTGCAGTTTGCCCTCCAGACGCATAGCCATGGGTTGCTCTTGTTGACAAAGAACCATAAGCCTTTTAAATCAGTGGGGCACCTTTTGGAGAGTCTCCAGGTTCTCTTGACAAAAATATTTTTTTTTATTTTTTATTTTTTTTTTTTTTTTTTTTTTTTGTGAACCTGAGGGACCTAGCCATACAAGGCTATGGCTGA